AATCCAGGTCCTCTTGCGTAATATGCATTATTCCTAGTCACATTGTTTATGTTGAAAGAACAGTCCTGAGCTGATAACATATTCATTAAAAACATATGGTACATATTAATATAGATTATTATAATCCCCTCATAAACGTTCCTTCTTATAATATTTTCTCGCTTTTAATACTTTAAATTTAAATCCAATTTTATAAACAAATAATTTAGTTTCTAGATTTCTCATGGAACAATATGAGTGGATTATTTTACTGTATATATTTTATCGTATTGGGATATATAATCTATGGGGGGATAGGTAGTTTCCCAATATAATCATTTACCAGGGCGAATTTTAAATTTCTAAAATCCGATTTAACCGGAAATGTATTTCAGCTTGTGTATAGCACCTATCCTATGAATTTCAGAACAATTTTAGGCATAAATTTTTTTAGATTATTATAAGTTATATAAAGAATCTATATATATAAATTGTGGCAATATCTTTGAAATTCACTATGTAGGTAATCTATAAATGCTGGAAAACATTTTCGATCAAATCAGATTTTTAAAATATAAAAACCGTCATCAGTAGCGTGATTTAAAATCCATGAATTCCATATCCCAATACTACACACATGTATATATACATATTTTTTAAATTACAATTTTATATATTTAATACCTTTGACTAACAAAATTAGAGCTTGAACCACCAACAAGACCGTTATTAATTTAAATTGATAATTCATTTTATTAGAAATAATTCGTGCTAATGTCAAAAATTGTAAATAAAATTTTGAAGAAATAAAATTCGCATAATATATAGTTTTTTTTGTTGGCATCTCCTTATTTATTTGAACAAGTTTTATAAGGTGTTTACAAATCAATTACACATAATAATAAATATTAAACGATATCAATTTTTTTATTTAAAAACGAAACTACTAAAGAAAATGAAGGTTAGCCCCTTTTACCATTAAAATTTCGATATCCTTGTTAAACGGCTCGATTTTGAATAACAGACCCGATTAGGATTTTAGCCCAAATATTATTATGTAAACTTGTAAATTCTGTCCGTATGCAAAAAGTTTGGACTTCGCCAAATCCCGAGGTTTACATCATTTTTATTTGGCGAAAATTTTAATAGAGTCGTTTTTAAAAATCGAAACTACTTCTCGGCTTTATAATTAACCTGCCCATTTCAGACATCTAATAGGAACCCTACGCTCTTAAATATAAGTGAATATTTTATTGTGAAATAAATAGTGTTTTGAGCCGATTTTAAAAACGGCTAACTCAACATATCCATAATAATATTACGCAAGCCTAAAGATTTTGTTCATAGATGGCACTAAGGTCTAGAAATCTATTAGCAAAGTTTCGAGGCTTACTTTTCTGGCTAAATATTGAGTTAACCGCTTTTAAAAACCGACTCAAAACGAGCCGTTTAACAACACTAGAAATGAATGTAACATAACAGATGTTAGAAAAAATAATCTAAAAGGCAATACTAAATGAAACGGGCTATAATTTTTTGGGTATAACATTTGTTGGAAATATAACTAAAAAAATCTTCAAAACTCGATAATAAATAGAAATTGAGAATATTTTAATCTTTATAAGCAGGGTTACCAGATTCATTCAAAAAAAAGAGGGAGAATTTTAACAATAATTCAAAAAAAAATTTTATAACATAATATTAATTTTTTCAGCGGCGATTATTTCTCTATTTAAATAAATATATCCATTACGCAACAATAAAATAAAGGATGATCGTATATTGTTTCTTTTAATAAATAGATATTATTTAAAAATCAGTACATATTTTTCAGAAGATTTTGTGTTAAATAAATTATCATTTTTTTACATATTCCTTAAAATCTATACAAGTAAAAATAAAATTGTTTGATCATTAATTCCACTTCTAAACCTGATGGAGTCAACTATTTACGTTTTCTGCCAGAAATTTTTCATTGAAACTATGCGCTCTTAATCAGCGTTTGTATGTGATATGTTTTCACGAGCTAAATTTGATATTTTGATCTATAAATATATATTATAAAGCAACGAATTCCTGAAATAATTCATCTAATTCGATATCTTTTATATTAAAATTGATTATTATTAATTCACCTTCCTCGAATTATAATTTATTAACCATAATACTTTGATTTTCCCATTTATTATTTGTAAATTTACATTTTTGAAATGATGCGATCTATCATGATCATCACATTTTATAAGATTTTGTCAACCGAGCCATGAAAGTTATTGATAACTTGGGCTTTAAAGTTGTAATGTGATTTATATTTAAATCTCCATTCAAAATCTGATAGACAGTCTATTATATAGCTCTGTTTTTGGTTAGTAACTGGCAATACTGATGAATTTATAATTATTAAGCCCTTCAGAAAATTATTATTGGCGCAACCTAGATATCAATATCGCCAAGAAGGATCAAGGTTTAACTAAGGAGTTTAATGATTAATATATAAATGAATCCTAAGTTCCTTGTGAGCGATTCATATAAAATAAGATTTCAAGGATCCAGTCTTTAAAAGTTAGAAAAAAATGTGAGATATAAATGTTAAATATTACATCCCAGATATTTTATCCATAGCATATATAACGATGTTCTAATTATCTAAAAACCTCATTTAGATCAATTTATATTTTGTAATTATATGTTATAGAGGACGTATGTATATATTAATAGAAACATGAAGTTAAAAAAAATAACGATTGGAGCCAAAATTGGGTTAGATAAAATTGGGTTTTTATTTTAATGTCTTAAAAAAATATATTATAATAAATTATTTAATATTTAATCGAATAATATTATTCAAATTACCTTGAATAATTAAATTGTTCCAATAAATTGAATATTTTATCCATTTGTACAAATAAACCATTTGTTAAAAATATATATATTTATATATACCTCGTGAATCAAAAAATAAAGTCAAGTTTTGAAATAAATTCCACCATTTTTTATTTTTTTAAATTACCAAATTTTGAGAAAAAAAAAATCGACTCTCATATTATTTTTTTTCAAAAATAGAAAGAATGGATTGCATGTCCACGACTATTGTCACTCACTTTTGCAAAATTTATCCCGAAATATAAATTATAATATAAATACACGAGCCGTCTTTTGAGATACATTTATAATTACAATTATAGAATTATCAAAATACATATTTTATCCCCTTTCTTGTATAACACCCTAACAATCTCACCCGTAACCTGCTCGAACGTCAACTTGATTTTCTAGAAAAATTAATGGTCAAACTTCACGAATTTTAGTTAAGTCTGAATTTTAAAGGTTGTAGTGTTAGCCTCACCTTTCCTCTCAAGAAATTTCTAACTAGATTTAGGTTTATCCCAGCAAGGAAACATAAATATCTTCGTTTTTTTTTGTAAATTGTATATAAATTAAAAGTTTAACTATTATTCATTAATAACTTACCTGTTTAAATTTTTTGCTTATTTAATTACAAATCTAAAAGAATCTTGAATATTTTTTAATTAAATTCATTTGCATAGACATATTGGCAAAATCTACCCTTGATAGCTATAATCAACAAAACATACAAATATTCAAAATTAATTAAAACATTAATTCGTTCAAGTTTAATCAATTCTTGGAAACTTCAACTACGTAGTATTTTCCTTCTAGAAAAATTACTAAGATATATTACCCAATGAACAAAAGTTTAGAAATTTTCGTCTAATTTTTTTTTATCTATTCATTGCTCAACGTAACCTATTATTCCCTGTTTTTATCTTATGTATTTATATTATTGCTTTAAAATAAAATCAAAAAAGTAGCATTTTTTAAAGAAAAGGAATGCCATAAGTTACCCTCTTAGAGGTAACGAGTAACGATAACGCGTTTCTTTTTTTTTTGAGTAACGGTAACGCAAAAAGTTACTTGTTACTTTTAATTTTTTCTTAAAAAATATAGGAAATTTTTTTTATTGTATTATAAGATAATTTTTATTTAAAACCGAGTTTATAAGTTATACCAAATTCATTTTTATTATAAATTTTCGTTGTTTAATTTTCTGTCAATATGGTTAATCTAATTAATATTGAATCAATCAATATTATTAATTTATATTATTATTCTCTAATATTATAATAATTTATTTTATACAAGAATATTATGTCAATTGTACATATTTCTTAATATGAAAATAACATGCCCTGGCCCCAATATATAACATTATTTACACAAAATAAGTCTACACTTTAAAATTGTGTCCCAACTCAATTATTTCTTTCTAACCCCATGAATTTAATATTCTTATTAAGGAGAATAACCAATATGACGAATCTTGTAATTAATCCGGATTTTCAGATGACCTGAATCGGGCCTAATTTTTAGCCCACCTGACCCCAAATTTTATAAAAAATATTTCTGTCCAGCCCGATCCAAAACAAATTTTTTTTATTTACCCCTAAGAGACTGATTCAAAATAAAAATTCTTTATCCGCACAACCCGGCCCGAATTTATTTAGAAAAATTTAATTTTTTATTGTAAGAAAAAATATTCTAACAAATAAAAAAATTACCACCTTGTTTCCTACAAGAATTTTGAAATTACTGATATATTTAATAATTTAAGCCCCTACCCATCCTAGTCCGAAATTTTCAAAATAATATTAGGCCTGGCCCAGCAAGACCAAAATTATTTTTTTAAAGAAATCCGGTGAACCCTGAAAACTGGATCGTGATTTGCTGATCTCATATATATTATATGAAAAAAGATGATTATCGAAAAATGTGAACAAATTTTGGTATATAGGCATTTTCTTAAAAATAAACTTTGATGTGACGGTAGATGACATGGAATTAAGTTTCAATATTATCATTTTTGTAAAAAAATAGGTTAATTTATGCCTATTTAATTGAGTTTCACTTAATTGTCTAAAAAAATAACGGTTAGAAACCTATTATATTGAACCTGTTTCAAACGTCTAACATTTATTCAGCATTGTTGGACATAAATTTGTTGCATACATTCACATAAAAAAGCATTTTAAAAAAATCAGCTGTTAATTCAAAATAAAGGTAACAAGGTATAATTACTTGACTAAAATAAAATATAAGTTTTAAATATATATTAAGTTTCTAGTTATTTTACCAATGATAGGCATCATTTTACATTCATTTTAGGTATTATTTTTAAAATAATATTATTATAATTAGGCCCAGACTCGAAAAATTAGACCATTTAAAGTTACAATAATTATTTCTTTCCACCATTCTTATTTTTTCTTAAAATATTTTAAAAGCATTATTAGCATATATACAAACAGTATTACTATACTCATTATTGAATTAGTTATCTTGTATACTATGCAACTTAGTTTTATAATACTCTTATTAAGGTCTTGAAAGTAACATAACTCATAACATAATAGCTATTTATATACTTATCAAATTTATGCTTAGTCAAATATAATATTGAAGCATAACTTTATCTAAAACATCATTTTTATAAATATTTATATTATGATTTATCTAGATTTGTAACTTAAATTAATATAGTTTAAGGATTCAGATGTTTTAAATTTCTTTTTAATGTGATATTTGTTCTTAGAATTATATATATTTATTTACATCAAAGATGTAATTTACAAGTCTGCAATCAGGTTTTAGCTCATCAAGTTAAAAAAAAATTTATACTTTGAATGGGCAGGCTAAAAATATTTTTAAAACAATATGTGAACTAAAACAATTTTAAAATAATGGGTAAGTAGATGTGTGGTTTAAAAGCCTACTAATTGTGGACTTCTAATTTATGATATTAAACTAATATTGTATACCAATTATCTTTTGTAATTTATGGAGCAAGATGATCAACATACTTTTTTTTATATCAACTCTATTGAAATCGATTATTTTGCATTAAGGATATTTTCAAAATCATGAGCGATGTCTTAGATGAAATTAAGCGGGCCACTTGTAATGTCAAAATAGATTCAAACTGTGAGTTATATGGATCCTTCTTTGAAGATATTTTAGCCAAATCAAAGGCAGAAGTAGATTATATATATATATATGTATACATAAATGTAACCTTAAATATGTGATTAAAAATATCTCTTTAAAAGAATTTGTGTAAGAGACTGCATATTTTTTTTTAAAAAAATAGCTTGGACTGCAAAGCATTAGTGTTTATTCAGATCTATAACATATTTTTTTAAAAATTCATTTATTATTTAACATTAATTAATGCATAATTATAATAACACCAAACTAGCCATTGAATTTAATATTTTTATTTTGTAATAGAAGATAATGTAGAATTATATGTTAGCGTCAAATGTGTTTTTTCCATCAATGTGATATTTTTTGAAATATATTGTCACACATTGGAATTCTTTTAAAAATTATTTCATTCTGTAAAAGCCTTATCCAAGGCTGTTTGAGTTTATATACTGGATATATTATGGAAGAAATAGTATAAATATATTAAGTATAATTTATTTGATTTTGATAAGTTAACATTTATTGATTCCATCTAATAGAGCATCTAAGTGGTTGACAATAAGTTAAACATGGTTTTCTTTTAATTTGAGTATCATTATCATTATTGTAGGTGCACAAAAGCACATATCTTCACTTTCTAAAATAGAAAATGTGGTGGCTATTGATCCCATTGATCTAATTATAATATTTTTATTACAATTTATGTTTAAAGAATTGAAATTAAGCTGTTTACATTTCGGAACAAACGATAATGTAGATATACGACTCTTATATTATAGGAATTGATAAATTAAAATATTTTATATTTTGTTAGTGAATAGTAATATGTTTAAATTTTATGTAACGTGCATTCATTAAATTAATTCTGATATATTTAACTTATTTCAAATCATACTTTTTTTTTAATTTTGCTTTTCGTTTTATAACTTAATCTTTTGATATTATATTTTAATTTTTAGTTGTAAAAAAGATGTATTATACGATAAGAAATATAAATAAAGTGAACATTTTTTATTTTAGAATCAAGTGTTCCAAGCGCTCTTCTTCAACGACTGTCCCAAATAGAGGTCTGCATTGGGCGGGGTTTCGGCCCGCCCGCCCACACCCGAACATCTAAGTGGGCGGGTAAAAAAAATTTGAAAATGGGAAGGCGGGCGATTTAAAAAATTTTTAAAACTATGGACGGGCGGGTGGGTGGGCGGGTTAAGAAATTTAAACAATGGGCGGGAAGGAAATTTAAAATTTTTGTTCAAAAACAAACTAAAGAAAGATCGTAATTAATTAAATGATCAATAAAAATATTTATTTTTTATTGTATCAATCGTTTTTTTAAGTGAAGAACACTTTACTAGTTTTTCGACATCTTTATCTAATTTTTCAATGTCTCGTAATGGATTTCATTGTAATACCCGGATGTCCCGTATGCAATATATGCAAAACTCTTTTTTGAAGTGATTACGGAATGATTAATCTGCCATTCAAAAATAAAATACCGTCATCATTTTCTATTTCATCTATTCTTGTTCTAAAAGCTTGTAATTCTGGTGCTTGATATTTTTACCATTCTTGATAGAGTTAATGTGTCATAAGTAAGATTTCTTATATATTTCACTGTTTTATTTTCACTTGTTATTCTATCATCATTTTTCTCTATTGGGTTTCGCGATAAAGCATCTGCAATTATATTATTAACGCCATTCTTGTACATTATATTATAATCATATGCAGATAATTTATAAGCCCAACGTAATAATCTTTGGTATGTTAATAAGCATAAATCTCTGTTATTACCATATATCTTTATTAAAGGTTTGTGGTCTGTTCAAATTATAAATGTTCGTACATACAAATAGTTAAGAGATTTTTTACGCCGTTTATTATTGCTTTTGCTTCTTTGAATAATTCTTTTCAGCGTCTTGTAAAGTTCTTGGTGTAGGCTATTGGAAATTCGATACCATCATCATATTTTTGCATGAATACAGCTCCAAATCCTTGGTTTGATTCATCTGTTTCTAATATTAACTCGAGATCTGGTTTATAAAACTGTATAGTATTTTGTTCTGTTACTATTCCGAATAGCATCAAACGATTACTAAAATAGAACGGTATTTTATTTTGGAATGGCAGAATAATCTTCGTACTCACTTCAAAAAAGAGTTTTAAACGGGACATCCGGGTGTCACCTGAGGAAGCCGATTCTACTTTGGTGGAAACGACAAGAGATTTGCCAAAGCTATCAAGATTAGCAAGAAAAATATTGACAATTCCTGCGATTTAGCTTGCTGGAAGGTTTTTAGAACAAAGAAGAACGTGTTTGAATCCAGAAAATGTCGCTTCATTATTATTTTTACATTATAATTACTTATAAAATCAATTTTATATTTATTTCATAAATATTATATTTGATCAAATAAATTATTCATAATTTAAATTGAATGTTTTTTTATACTTAAATTAATTTCCTAAATTATAAACTTTTTGTAGAGATGTAATGCTGAAATATTTTTATTAGATGCTTAAAAAATTGAAAGAATGGCCATTATTAAATTTTAAAAGTGGACTTGGGTTAAAAATTTTTATAAATAATGGGCAGGAGGGTAAAACATTTTAGACTAATGGACGGGCGGATCGGGCGAGTTATATATATTTTTATAAACTGGGCGGGTTGGGAGTTCGGGTTAAATTTTTTTTAAAACATTGGGTGAGCGGGCCTTTGGTCCAAAAACCCGCCCAATGCAGTCCCAAATTTATTTGCTTTTGGAAAGTTATATCTTGATCAGAGTTTTAAATAAATAATTCCTGTTATGAATATTTTTAAAAATGGCGATTCCGGTTTCCTAAAAAATATTAAATAGTGGATTTCTTTTCCACTTTTAAAATTTATAACAAAAAATGGTTCGATTTTTATTCACAGATTTGTTCTGGTAGGTATATTCTATTTGGGACTTCGTGCAACATTGAAAAATAACTGAGTCCTTCTTTAATCAAGTATACCCGTCACTTCTTTCTCCCCCCCCCCCCCCCCATTGAATGTATGCTTTACCACAGATTAAATTGCCTTGAACACTAAATCTCTCTGTTTGTATTTTACTACTCATTTATATTAGTATAATATAAATATACCAAAAATTTTCAATTCAAAAGTAACGAGTATCGCTAGATATTCTTTTTAAAAGTAACGAATAACGCATAAGGCAACAACTCTTTTTTTTAACGGTTTATCACACTAATCTTAACATTTCTTTTTAAAATAATTCAATATCTATATTGTTTTTTTATGTGTTAAAGAAGAGGCCAGAATTTTCTACTGTTTATGAAGGCGTGAATGAATCAGTTGGAGATGAGGATTCAAGCTTAATTAGCCCGCCTTCGCAAATGCTCAACGATAACGAGCTGGAGTCTTGGTTCGTTATCATGTCCCATAGCTATAAATCTAATGGTTTAGCCTTCATTTTAAGACTTCAACGTTACGCTCTCGCGATGTCAAGATTTAGGATTTACGATCCAGCCATGTAATTTTTTTTCCAAAAAACATACAGTTAAATACAGAGTTTAACACCTTGACTAAAACAATATTCCGAAGTTCCTTACTTAAAAATTTATTTTAACAGATGTTACTCAGTTTTTTTAGATTCAACGCGGTTCCGAGGGTGTGCTATTTAATCGATAAAAAAAAGACTTATTACAATACGTAAATTAGAATTAATTTGCATTTTAAAAAAAAATATTTAGGTCATTTATAGACTCATTCGATGATGCTGTTATCATGGGAGAAATCAAAAAATACACCGAAAGAGAGGATGCTATAGATTATCAAATGTTCATGGTTATCTTACCCAACGATATGTTAGCGATGTATAGCTCTTTTAAAAACATTACATCTACCACTTTGAGTTTTAATTTTAATTATTTTATATAATATTATCAATGATATATATACTCTTAAAAATTTTATACGAAATCTGATTAAACGTTATGCATAAAAATATTGTAAATTATTTATATTATTTCTGGGGAACCCTTGTGATAAAAATTTAAGAATATTCTATTTAATCTTTTTTCGGCCTAGTTAAAGAAATATTTCTAGAGATGGCTACTTGTAATATATATATTAAATGTTAATAGATTCTAGGGCTGTGCCGATATTATATATCGGATCGGATTGACACCTATTTAACGTTTTCAGAAAGGATCGGGCCAAAATAAATCTATTCGTTATATTCTATTGTTTTTGATTATTTTATGATTGTATACATAATTATTTTTATTTTATAAAATAATTTAATAATAAATTAATGAAAAGGAACTTTATATAAAAAAATGGTTAAAAACACGAAAAGTATTTTAAAATATATAACGACTCACATTCAGCTAGTGTTGTTAAGCAAGCGCCTCGATTTGATTAATTTTTTTTAAAAAAACGGATTTAAAATTTTGGTCGGGAGAAATTATTCAAGTTTATTGATTAAGCCCACAGATGGCTGAAAGATTTAAACTTGTATTGGCCAAATTTTGAGGCGGCTTTGGTAATAACATTTTGGCTAAAATTCTTAAATGGAGTTGTTTAGCAACATTACATTCCTGGTAAACATTTGCAAATATTTTAAATGAGATTATTTAACCTTTGGAGAATTATAAAATATATATATATTTCATTCGTGAAAGTTAGTTGGTTTTTAAATGAACATCAACATAAATATCAGATCGATGAATTATTTGTGATTCGGCACAACCCTAAAATTCATTATTAATTAATTAGGCTATCAAAGAAGTTTGATATTATTACGCTGTGCCGCTTGAATTAATATTAGAACGAATAATATAAGGACTATTTTATTTTGCAAACCAAATTAATAAAATATAATTTTACAACAACAAAATATATAATTAGTTAAGAAAGAAAAAAAAAATCAATTTTATAATATTTCGCTTCCCTTTTATAGGGAAGCGCATAAAATACAATTTCATTATGATTCAACAAAACTTAATTTCTATATCTAAAAATAAAATAAAACAAAATATTAAAATACGGTCTAATAATGAACCGGCACAATTTATTTATTAATGTTCACGCAATAAATATTATCAAATATGTCACTCATTTATGACATTTCCCCCCTTTATCGGACCTCGTTGGCTCCAACAACTGCCTATATTCCTCTTCTCCTACCCGTAACACTGGCGTGTCCGGCGCCATTCGTTGATATAATTGTATTTCTCTGTTATCGGAAGATGCGGACGTTGGCTCCGACTCCTTCCAGGTTCGCCCCCCATAGTATCAAACCGTTCCTTGGGACACCACCGTCGGATATGTCCCGCCATTCCACAACCATAACATATCACCCTGTCTCTTTCTTCACGTACCGTTTCCCTTGAGTGCTCTGATGGTCTTCTCTTCCCCTCCATTGATCTCGTGCCTTCCTGGGCTAAAGCCCTCCATTCACTAGCAAGCGGTTCCATATCCGCACTAATTATCGTATTTCGCATCAAATGAGTACCCAGGTCTACATATCTATATCACATAATCATTTACCTTCTCATATTATTATTTTTTTTTTCTGCTTTCCCCCTTTTCTTCCCTCCCCTTTCCTCATCACTCTCCTTGCATATATATATATAACGACTTACTTATTAATAATCGGCATACCGAATAAAATGATATTTTCCTCTACCGAATAAAATTATGAATTTTATGTTTTCTTCTTCTCTTTCTTATTCAAAATTTTCCTTTTCTCAACACTCTCTTACTCGTAAATCATTTCCTTTATATTTCAATACCCCATCTCCCTAACTCTATTTCTTTTTTCCTCTCTTTCTCTCTCTATTTTCGTTAACAGAAAAACTTTTATTAATTTTATTATATTTTTTTATCATTTAACCTTAACTCCTACTATTTTTCTCTTAAGAAAAATTAAAAACAACAAACAACCATTACTCCCTTTATTAACATATTATTATTATTTTTTTTTCCTTTTAATTCACTCTTCCCTGCCAACAAAATACAACATTATAATATAAAAAAAAACATTATAATACAAATCACTCAACCCTAACCCCGTTATTTTTTTTTTTACTATTACTTTTTATAAAAAAAACATTATAATACAAATCACTCAACCCTAACCCCGTTATTTTTTTTTTACTATTACTTTTTGTTTCTTTTTTTTTTTTAAATTCATTCTTACTTTACTCAATACTTCTCCTTATTACATCATCCCATCCACCTATTCCCATTATTCATACCCATTCTATTCCTGCCTCCGCCCCTCCGTTTACCACAAGAACCTTCAACTATTTTCGCTTCAATATTATTCCGCCGCTTATTCCTTCTTCGTTACCGGTTTATTCCACCAAATATATTTCGAAAATTTATTTTACTTAATATACACTTTCAAAACCCTTTTCCCTTTACATTATTTTATTTAACCTAAACTTCCAAAAAATATTTTTTTTTAATAATTTTATTTCTCCTTAATTTATTTAATTCAACATATTTTAAACATTTCTCTAATATTTATTTCAGCTCCACCCAAATTTCACAAAAAAAAACAATTTTCCTTTTACCATTTTACTCTGATACATTATAATTTTTCTTTACAATTTGACTCGATCATACTTTGACTTATATTCCCACCTTATATATATATATACCCCTCTTTATATCATCCCCTTTCCCTTCCGCCTTCCGGAACGATCACCTACACCACCCCCGTGACCTTGACCTATATATATTTTTTTAACTTCGGACCTCTCGTTGACCTCTTGCCCCTGTCACTTTCGCCCCGCTTCCGTTCCTCTGCGTATCTGATCTTCATGTCTCACACCAACCTTGCCATCCTGAAAACGGACCCGACTTAACTTTTTTCCTACCTTTTCCATCACAACTCCGGCTCGCCATTTCTCCTTTTCACCATATACCCTCGCCCACACCGACTGTCCCACCATAAACTTTGCTGGTCCCTCCTCCTCCCGTTCTCTCCTCGGACCCTCATAATCCGGCCTCAGAGCATCTAACCCAATCCTCGTTCTGCGCCCTAAAAACTTCTCTGCTGGAGACAAATCCTCTCCCCTCCTACTATTATTATAATACATCACCGACGTCCATACTTCTCCTTTCCCATACTTTGCCTTTCGTAAGTTTGGAGTGGCTAAATCAATCGTGTCGGACGGTGGACCAGCGTTTAGTAGTGCAGAGTTTGCGAAAGAGAATGTCGAGAGGAAATTTGGAATGGATGGAGGGCCGAGATAATATTGGAGTAGACGATGGAAGATCCATGTTTTGGGTGGAAAGCGAAGAGGATGCGAGAGAATATATGTTGGGGAGAGGTCCGATTTATGTAGATGGAGAAATAGGAAATGTCCAAGACAGTAGATATGGAGTATTGAGGCCGCTGATTAGTGAAAAGAAGGGAGAGAATTTTGTAGAACAAGGAGTTGCGAAAAATTTGCGGGGGTGTGGAGAGGGAATAAAGGATGTCCAAAAGGAGGTGGAGAAGTTAGTGGAGAGGTATGGAGAAATATTTGAGGAGGAGTTGGGTTGTTTGAAGGGTTATGAGGTGGAGATTCGGATGAAGGAGAGATGTGTGCCGAAGTATTGTGCTGTACGTCGTGTACCTTTTGAATGGAGGCGGGAGTTAGAGCAAGAGTTGGATAGATGGGTAAAGGAAGATATTGTATGTCCGGTTGAATATAGCGAGTGGGCGACACCTTTAGTACCGGTGAAAAAGGCTAATGGGAAGTTGAGATTATGTGCAGATTTCCGAGTAACATTGAATCCGTGGGTAGTTGAAGTAAAATATCCGTTACCGAGGATAGAGGAGATATTGGCGAATTTGAAGGGGAGTTTATATTTTTCGAAGGTGGATTTTTCTAATGCGTATTTGCAGTTGAAGGTAAGGAAGGAGATGCAGAAGTTGCTGACCATAACTACGCCCAAGGGACTATTTGCGTTTAAGAGATTGCCGTTTGGGTTGAGTGTTTCGGCACCCATATTTCAGAGGACAATGGCGGCCGTTTTTCAGGGTTTGGAGGGAGTGTTTTACTATATGGACGATGTTTTGATAACAGGTATTACGCAGGAGGAGCATAATAGGAGGCTGGAGGAGGTATTTTGGAGAATCAAGGAGAAAGGATTGCGTGCTAAGATAGGTGAACAGTACGAGCCCAAGACAGTCCATGTGATACACCGTGTATCTCATTGGGCATCCACCAGACAAGTACTTACGCAGCTAGGTCTGCAGCATGTTGCACTGTCAACTCCGCTACTAAACACCGGAAGAAAGCGTGTGCAACAAAGTGGCGTGCTGTGCCAGCTGGGTTGCTGTTTATCCTGAGTGATAGATCAGCAGTGGGCGTGATCCCAGTCTCTCTTCCGGTGTTTAGTAGCGGAGTTGACAGTGCAACATGCTGCAGACCTAGCTGCGTAAGTACTTGTCTGGTGGATGCCCAATGAGATACACGGTGTATCACATGGACTGTCTTGGGCTCGTACTGTTCACCTATCTTAGCTCGCATCACTTTCCTTATATAACCAGCCGTTGATCCCTGCCCTGTATGGTGGTTCTCTTTGTAAAAGTTAACTTTAGCTGCGCTAATCAGAACCACACACAGCTGAAGGTTTTCCTTACTCATTGACTCCGCTATTATGCTGTTCTCTTCGTTTGTGTAAGCTGCCATCTTCGTTCTGGTCACTATCCTCCAGTCTCCATCTGGCACGGTTGTTTCGCCTTTGTAGCATATGAGCTTACAGCTGAAGCAGACATATACCGATCCCAGTAATATCTTCTTGTCGATCCTCGACATAGTGGCGAATGACGTGTGCTTCACTATGTCGTAGACAGCATAGTTGACCATGCTGTTAAACCTGCGATATGGCACAAATGAGTCTGCGACGTCCGTCTTTCCCTTCACGGCGAGGTGAACAACTGCTAATTTCTCTGATTCGCTTAGTGCTGTCTCCGTACCTGCTGCTAGTCCACCTTCGTACATTCCATTAAATGGAAGCAGCACCAACAACGAACACTAAGACTTCGTTAAAAGTGAAACGTGGAGAGATAAAACTATAACAGTTAAATAAAATAATCCCAAAATTCCAAAAAGTCAAGCTCAAAAAGACAAAAAAGCAGAGAAAAGGGAAGAGAAAAGAATCGAAAAGAAGCTAGAGAAAAAAATAATGACTACCTTATTAAACATAGATATGTTTGAGGATAAGGAAACGGTCTATAACCAGGATGGCTTTGAAGCTGTGGTTGGCCTGCCTCCATTTAATGGAATGTACGAAGGTGGACTAGCAGCAGGTACGGAGACAGCACTAAGCGAATCAGAGAAATTAGCAGTTGTTCACCTCGCCGTGAAGGGAAAGACGGACGTCGCAGACTCATTTGTGCCATATCGCAGGTTTAACAGCATGGTCAACTATGCTGTCTACGACATAGTGAAGCACACGTCATTCGCCACTATGTCGAGGATCGACAAGAAGATATTGCTGGGATCGGTATATGTCTGCTTCAGCTGTAAGCTCATATGCTACAAAGGCGAAACAACCGTGCCAGATGGAGACTGGAGGATAGTGACCAGAACGAAGATGGCAGCTTACACAAACGAAGAGAACAGCATAATAGCGGAGTCAATGAGTAAGGAAAACCTCCAGCTGTGTGTGGTTCTGATTAGCGCAGCTAAAGTTAACTTTTACAAAGAGAACCACCATACAGGGCAGGGATCAACGGCTGGTTATATAAGGAAAGTGATGCGAGCTAAGATAGGTGAACAGTACGAGCCCAAGACAGTCCATGTGATACACCGTGTATCTCATTGGGCATCCACCAGACAAGTACTTACGCAGCTAGGTCTGCAGCATGTTGCACTGTCAACTCCGCTACTAAACACCGGAAGAGAGACTGGGATCACGCCCACTGCTGATCTATCACTCAGGATAAACAGCAACCCAGCTGGCACAGCACGCCACTTTGTTGCACACGCTTTCTTTAAGCGCATGGTTAAATCGAATGCAGTTGTGCTAGTGCCAAACCTCGGCGACTTTAAAACTTTGAAACAAAAAGTGGATACAATAAGTGAGACACCTGCTATCTACCACATCGGTGCTGCTTATCTATGTGAGGGTGTACCAGCCTTGGCGAGAAAAATGCCATTCGACGACAACGAAGCCACGCAGTACATTGGTCGAACCGGCACCTATGGTGAAATTGTAATGAAGAACAGCACGCTCATGCAGTCGCCTCATTACAAGGGCAACTTATACCAATCAGCTGAGGATTATAGCGCTGATTATAGCAAGGCCCTAAAGAGATACATCGAGTATCGTGAAAATGAGGCATTTTCGATGGACAGGATATCGGGTATTGCCAGTGGGGTTTTGGCATACAAGGAGATCGCAGAGCTCTACAAAGTAAAGGTGAGCGATGAGGTCGTGACTCTCATGCAGGAGATAGAGTCTGGCACATATGTTCCGCCTGTTGCTGCTCCAAGTACCTCTAAATAAAGAGATGTGGAGAACAACTATAAAAAAAAGACAAAAAAAACAAAAAAAACAAAAAAAGAAAAATGAAAAAACCAAAAAAACTATAAAAAAATAAAATATAAAATGTAACAAAAAAACCAAAAAAAGTATGAATGAACCCCATTTAATCACATGTATGAACGATTTTTGTTAAATAAGAATGGCTGCAATAGTTAATCACGGTATGAATGAAAAAAAGAAAAAAAAAATCAATTTTATAATATTTCGCTTCCCTTTTATAGGGAAGCGCATAAAATACAATTTCATTATGATTCAACAAAACTTAATTTCTATATCTAAAAATAAAATAAAACAAAATATTAAAATACGGTCTAATAATGAACCGGCACAATTTATTTATTAATGTTCACGCAATAAATATTATCAAATATGTCACTCATTTATGACAGATATGGCGGAAAAAAATTTTCGGGGAAGTTACCAATCACAAGTCCTCTAAATTTTGAGTGACAAAATAATAAATGGAATATAATTCCTGTTTATTTTGTTAGATTTCCTTTTGTGTAATATTAAATCTTCATTTAATAAAATTCACCATAGTATAAAAAGAAGAAAAAAACAGGCACGATTATAGATTATAATATAATATTTTTTTAAAATATATATTATATATATTTATTAGTACCTTCCCAAGTCGTGCTTGAATCGACAATAAATGCAAAATTTCCGCTTCATAGTATTTTGTTTAAAATAATAGACAAAACTCGAATAGCTACATATGTAAGTATAATAAAATATACTAAATACAACCATATAGAATATTACAAAAGTTTTAATATATATTTCGCTTCAAATAATTAGTACATGCCAATCATGTTTTTTTTATTTTCAAAATAAAATTAACCCGTTGCTAGTACTGTTAAAAGACTCAATCTCGTCAATTTTAAATTAAAATTTTACCCAAAAGTGGTGAGAAAGAAAGCTTGATGATAGAAAGCGTTGAAAGGAATTTGGGGTTCATTTATGCAAGCTTCAAAAAAGTAACAGATGTCCAAACCTTCCAGCCATTTTGTGAGAAAAATCTTCGAGCTTGAATAATTTTTTTTTTGATAAAATAAATAAACGCCATTTAATTACCATATTTTAATCGAATCCGAACAAATAATGGAATGGGTAAAGTAAAAAAAAGTCTAATTTATTTTTATTAATTATAAGTCATTTTGTTTTCTATATATAAATTAATTTTAAAAGATGATAAAATTAAAAATATGCCCACTTTTTAAAGTAAACAATTTCCCCAATTTATCAAGGCATTTTCTCATATTAGTTAATATAAATTTGATGGGACTCTACATTTTCAGGTTTGACTATATGTTTTTAATCACGGTTCTTTCGGAGTGACTGGTTCTTCTGTTTGTAAATAGCTAAGAGGGGGACTTGTGTTCTTGCACTATCGAGAAAATATATCTAGTGTCTGGCCAATTTTTATCTTGGTTAGATAAATGACTGAATTTTTTAATACAATTATACACGAATTTTTATAATTGTATTAGAGATTTTATAAAATAATTTATAAATTGATTTGATATTTATTTATGAAAATTTTTTTTTACAAGAATAATTGCTTGGCGGATTTAAGAGATCTCTACCCGCAAGATCCCCTGAATTTCCACGATGGCGAAAAAAAATTGGGCGTCATAAAAACTCCTCATATCCTGAAACATTTTTGTCGGAACGGTACTGGTGAAGTTCTGGGAGTTCTAAATTTACAGTTTTATACTTTCTATTGCGTAATAAATTTATTACCGAACTAATATAGGTTACCTCGAGCCAGGGGCGTCGCTAGCCTTTACAATCTCAGGGGGCACAACTAGCCCCCATACTTCCCAATTTGCGGGGCTTCGCCCCGCTTTTGCCCGGCCTTCGGCCTTTATATTAATATATAATACATTTTTAAGATTTTCTAACTTGGAACAATTATTCTGAATTTCATATTTTATCATTTATCATATTATGCATACAAAACAAACTAGCATATAAATGATTAAAACAATAGAAGACATTTCTAAATATAATATTTTTTAATACAAAATCTATTTATTTCAGTATAAAATATTTTCGCTGATATAAAAATATTTTGCGTCTAAAGAATTACAAGTGATAAAAAAGGTTAATTAATTCATACATATGCCTCAATTGATAATGGTTTTTAAAAACCACATAAGGCAATGTAATTCTTAGAAACTTACATTGACAAAAAGTCATGTAACTAATATTATAACTCTCTATCATAATTTTTTATAGAATGGACCAATAAGGAAAAATTTATAGGCCTAACCAAATTAACAATTCTTGAAGAAGAGAATATAAACGGCCAATCCAAATCATTAAACTATATGGTGGTTAGAGCTTCCTCTTAGATGGCATGATGGAAGCTAGATAAGTAATCGAGAAAAGATATTATATTTCTAAAAGATTATCTTCCATTTTTAATGATATATAAACGATTACACAGTTGACCATTATTGCTTATCTAAAATATACTCTCAGCAGCTATAGTAGTAATCTTAAATTACATAGCCACACAAATAATGCTGGTTAATTTGCAGTCAAGATGATATGAGGAAATCAATTAAGATTTTATATATTGTCGCTCCAGTTGGTATATTATAAATTAAAATAATAGTAGTTTGTAATAATATCAAAAATATACTCGTATAAAAAATTTAACTCAAAACTGTTTTTCAAAGAAGAAAAAAAATACTTTCATAAAAACATATAAAAAAAGAGAAGAAAAGATTTCCAATTTATTACATCCATTTTAGGATGAATAAGATGTTCAATTTTTAAATAGTTGGCTTTATAGATTTGACTACAAATACTTATATTTATTATCAAAAGCATTGATTATTAAAATTTATTAAAATATTAACTGTAATACATTATATAACTGTAAAATACGTCTGAAGTGGCATTTTACCTAATATTTTATAATCAATTATATATAATTGAGGATTATAAACTATATGTCTACTTACTTTTTATAAAGAAATCTCTTATACTTATTGGACCTTGAAAATATTTTTAGGAAGAGGCATGATTATTAAATTTAAAACTGAATAATATAGTTGATTAGTAATTTTGAACTCGGCTAATTACAATATTAAATTTGTTAATTTTCAATTCAAAAATGATTATATTAATTTAATTAGGGTTATATAATAATTTAAATGATAAAAGTCAGTTAAACTTCAACTGTTAATGCTAAATTAATATTTAGTGAGGGATATTGATATTATATTTTTAACACAAAATTTGGTTGCAAGCTGACATAGTGAAAATATAATTTATATGTATTAAACTAAATAATTAGAATAGTTACATTTAATAAAAATTTAGAAAGTCTTATTAATTTTTAAATAATAAAATTAAATCTATATTTTACTTAATAGAATTATAAATGAAATCGTTCAGGAGCAGGGTTGCCATGCCTCCCCCCATCAGTGGGAGTCTCCCACAATTTTTTAGTTTACCCACATACATCTCACTCCCACAAAACTCCCACAATTCGAAATCTCCCACAATCTCCCACAAAAATCTCCCACAATTTTTTAATTTCTCCCACAATTTTTTTTTAGCATTTTAATGTTTTTAATATATAAATAATAATTTTGAGAAACAGTATTTGATTATTTTTATATTTTTAAAATAAATTTTAAATATTTATTCGAAAAATATGTCTAGTTCTTTTATTTTATTTTTCCGCTAATTTTAAATTCTCCATCCAATCCAATCCATTCGACATTTTCAAAATTTGAAGTTAGAATAGTATGTATAATTATTATAAATATATTTTAAATTTCTAGATTCTATAATTGCAGTGCTCCACTCAACATTTTCATAGAAGAATAGAACTTTTAGAAGTGGATTTCTGCAGCATAATTTAGTGAGCCTTTATTAAATTATATTCTTCTGATTGCAACTGCATATTAACAGCATATAGTAGATTTCCTATATGTAAAATTCCTAAATATACTTCTGCCATTTATTTTTGAAATTTTTTTTCAAATAGGACAGCTTTTATAATCTATTTATTTTTTAAAGGTTTGTAAAATTTTAAAATTCTACGATGGCGCGTATTAGGAGGAACCTGTCAACCAACATTATGCTGACTCAATTCTGTAAATACACTATGGTTTTTGCCAAATTCACTGAGGAATTATCAGATCAGAAAGCTGCCATGCAATTCATTGGTAATGCCAAATCTGCCATATTTACCATTATATATGGTTAGCGATGTCTTTGGATATTTCATATCATGAGAAATTTTTTTAATAGTTTTATTGAAATGACATTAATTTTGTTGAAATAGGGGAGGATCAAGGGAAATGTTTTGATATCTCCTTATTAGATGCATCTGTTAGAATTGCATATGTTTGCACATCTTTCAAATCGTCAAGAATTGACCTTCTGGATTTATATTCTAAAACATTGTTGATAGCCTTGCTCATTTTGTGTTCTACAAAGTATACTTTTCATTTATATTAGTTGTTAAATATTATGGGGAAAGATTCTACCAACATTGAGATGTTGAGTAACTCTCTGAATGTTGTACTGCATGATAGGTATTTACCATTTCCGCAACTGTAGTTGCATCTATATTATTTCTAATTTTTGAAGAATATTTTTGTTTTGCAATAGATGTTGATAGAATGCCCTGTACTGATTTATGCTTTGAAGATTTTTGATACCTCAAAATATCATATTCCCTTCCCCCATTGTATTAACTAAATACTGTAGAACAACTTCCCCGCACTGATTATAAATATTTTTTACATTGTAAATTTAAAATTGTTTGTTTTTTTATAAAATCTTATTTATACATTTATTTTTTTACATTGTAAAATTACAATTTTTTTATAAAATTTTATCTTGTTTACATTCTTTTGTAATTAAAAAAGATCGTTGGTTATTATTTTTAAACAAAATTAATATATTATAATAAATATGTTATTTTAATAATAAAGATAGTACTCTAAGAAATTTTGTGTCGTACAGTAATTACCTATTTTGAAAAATAGTTGCGTATTTTATTTTGGAAAATAGTTGGATATTTTATTTTGAAAAATAGTTGGCTATTTTATTTTGAAAAATAGTTGGCTATTTTATTCTAAAGAGTTACCTATTTTATTTTGAAAAAGAGTTGGAAATTTTATTTTGAAAAATAGTTGGCTATTTTATTTTGAAAAATAGTTGGCTCTTTTATTTTGAAAAATAGTTGGCTATTTTATTTTGAAAAATAGTTGGCTATTTTATTTTGAAAAATAGTTGGCTATTTTATTTTGAAAAATAGTTGGCTATTTTATTTTGAAAAATAGTTGGCTATTTTATTTTGAAAAATAGTTGGCTATTTTATTTTGAAAAATAGTTGGCTATTTTATTTTGGAAAAAGTTAGCTATTTTATTTTATAAATAGTTGGCTATTTTATTTTGAAAAATAGTTGGCTATTTTATTTTGAAAAATAGTTGGCTATTTTATTTTGAAAAATAGTTGGCTATTTTATTTTGAAAAATAGTTGGCTATTTTATTTTGAAAAATAGTTGGCTATTTTATTTTGAAAAATAGTTGGCTATTTTATTTTGGAAAAAGTTAGCTATTTTATTTTATAAATAGTTGGCTATTTTATTTTGAAAAATAGTTGGCTATTTTATTTTGAAAAATAGTTGGCTATTTTATTTTGGAAAAAGTTAGCTATTTTATTTTATAAATAGTTGGCTATTTTATTTTGAAAAATAATTACCTATTTTATTTTAGATTAGATTTTATATTTATAAAAAATAATAAGCGGATAACTAAGTCAATTCTAAATCCCGGACGCAGGCCGGGCCTTTGCGGGGCTTCGGCCCGCAAAAAAATTTTTTTTTAGCAATTTCTCCCACAATTTATATATTTCTCCCACAAAATACGTAATTTCTCCCACAATTTGAAAATTTTGACCTGGCAACCCTGTTCAGGAGGCAATCAAAAAAATTTATTTTTAGTTCAAAGGGATATTAAGGAGCCATAAAAAAATTTTTTACTTCAGGGGGCTATTCAAATTTTTTAGGGGGCTCGAGATTGCCTTGAGCATTTTCGTCACTTATTATAACTAGTTATCTATGAAAGCTTCTTATTTCCAATGTTTATTAAAATGAAATATGATATTATTTTCATTATATATTATAATAAATGTATAATGTATAATATACAGATACACTGATACTTAGGTAGAAATGGGAAAACTCATATCTTTCATTTTAAAATTATAAAAGATTTCAAAAGAAGGTTTAGGAAATTCGGAATTAATTAAAAGCAATGGCTTCATTAGGGGGGAGGGGGGTTATGAAATTCTGGTGACCAGCAAGGATATTTTTTTAGATAAAATTTCTTTTACAAATTTAAATAGAATTTCCACTTATTTGATCATCAAAAAAAATGTGCTCCTCAAGCGTAAGGAGCTAGCGATGCCATTGATTCTAGTGTACATAATGATCACCACTGTCTCTCTACATTGAATTTAATAATTTTTATGTATCACCAGTGGCGTAGCTAGGAATTTTCCTTAAAGGGGTCCATACATATAAAAGGGGGCTTCGCCCCAGACCCCTTTTAAGCTTTTGCCGGCCTTCGGCCGGGTTTATCTTACAAATCATAACCATATCTTCGATAATATATTATAAATATATTTTTTAAATGCATCAATAATATGTTATTATAATTTAGTATATTATTCTCAATGACTTTATAATAATACTATCCAGAATAATTTCAATAGTAATATAATATCCTTCCTCAAATATCAAAACCAGAAAAATATAATTCATATAAAATCACTTTTAAGTCTTTTGAACGTATAATCTCAAAAAAAAATTTGCTCTGAAGGGGCCAAACCCGAAAACCACCCCCGTAGCTACGCCACTGTGTATCACTTTATAATATATATATAGATTTAGATTTTATATTTTTGTATTCTTATGTTCTCTTAGAAATTCGCCTGTCCTTCTAAACTACACAATATGTTCTTTCGTCAATTGGCCAACCTATTATGCCGGCGATAAAATTGAATTTTCTATCAAATTTAACCGTGCCAAGACCCATTTCGCTGCATGCAATTTCTTTTTTTCCACCGATAATTTCAAAAACTCTATAAGATATCAAGTTTATCTTCATTTTTTTTCATCATCTGAAAATTATATTCGCATTCTTGTTTTTATATACTAATTCTTTTTAATATATATATATTTATATTATTGATTTATTATTTGAATATTATTTAAAAATAATTAATAGAATTCCATTATAAGTATTTTTTTTTATAAAATTAAAGGAGATAAAAAAAATCCGGGTATTGTTTTATTAGGAGTGATTATCTTTAATTTTAACGCAATTTGACGAAACTTAATAATTTTTAAACTAAAAGAGGGAAAGTAAAATCAATATTCTCATACCTCTAGCTCTTAAGAACATTGTGTTTGAAAATATCAGAGACCTGTATTTTAATTTTTTTTAAAATATACCCGGGTCGGGCCTATGATAATTTATTTTTAAAAAAAATTAGAGCCAGGCCGAGCGGAAAATATAAAACCCGGACCGGTTTGTAAAATATTTAAAAAAAAATCCGGGCCGGACCCTGCAAATGATATCTCTGCAAGCCTCCGAAAAATATTAATGCGAGTGCTTCCGTGGGGTGCGTATCACATTTTAAACTACTTGTATCTCAAACATGAATTTAATTTTTCGCAACGATATTTTTAAAATATATTTTGAAATATTCATCTATCTAATATGATAATTATTTTTTAAAAAAAACTTCATCCATTAAAAGCAATTTTATAAGAGTTATTAGAGAGTTAGTCAAAAACAAAATGCAATGGGATTTCTAGCCCAAAATTTCCATTTATATTTACATTTAGAGCGTTTAAAAAAAATTTTTGGGCCCGAACCAACTGGATTAAAAATCCTTGATATCACAAAGCAGCACTCATCAAAAGTAAACTACATTTTGAAACGTGGTGTGGTCAAATGAGCTACCAAAAAATTTTGATCTTTATATTTACAGAAATTTAAATAATAAACGTTTGTCAAAACTGTGAATCCCATAAATGTTCTCAGGGCTAGGGATCATTTTCGAAGAAATATTCTGTTTTTTTATGCAGCGAGATAAGGGGCAAGCAGAAGCAAGAAATAAAAGCAAATTTTTTTTTTTGAAAAGAAACATTTTACTCCGATTATCTTCTATTAATAAAATATTTAATGTTATTTTAATGACAGGGCTTCATTCACAGTTACGATAAATCAAGGCATGGCGGTGAGTTTCAAGTTGACTCTCCTGGAGATTATTACAAAAAGCTCGTGATATTTAAATTGAACGAATTTGTTTCACCCGTGAAAGAAAAATATATTCATGTTGAGCCTTCCACTTTATACGGATTTGAGATTGTTTCTATGCCTCAAGATTACTTGAGGGCTATAAGAATTGGTTAAATGATTTAAAATATATTTATATTTCGTTTATATGCAAAATAATGTTTACTGTACCCTAATTTTTGCTACATACAGATTGTAGTATTACTAAAATAATTTTTTTCATTTATTATTAAAGTTTCTATTTTTTGAATTTATTTTAAGTTAGAAATAAATAAAAATCATTATATAAATATTGATCTATAAGCATGTTTTAAAACCGGTTCGATATATTCTACTTTGCATTTGTCTTGATATAAATAAAAAACATCATCTTTAAATTTAGACTCTACCCCAAATAAACTTTATTTGCATCATTTCTTCTATAATGTGATTTGATTAGATAAGAAATGATTTTATATGGGCTTTTACCTTTTCTTTCATTTCTTCTTCTATAATTTTTTTCGGGAACTTGCCTTTTCTATATGGTAAAGGGGTATTTTGAAAAGATATTTCTTTTTTTTTATCAAGAATAAAAATTTCCAAAAAAACATATTTTTAAATCCACAAAAAGAATAAAACTTGGAGATAGAATAATTTGACAATTTATCCTTTTTTGGATATAAAATAATATAATACTAAGCATATCAAGCCAATTTAATTGGTGATAAAATGATCATATGGTTATTTTTTATCAATCCTATTAGTTGGATGGATATAGAATAATATAATCCTTAAAATAAAACACTAAAAAAGCACATAGTACAATTTAATCCTGGGGATCCCCCGAAATCTAGATTCATTTTTAGCTCATTTTGATTGCTAGTTGGACCTTAAAATATACATTTTGCGAAAAAAAATCAAATTTTTTAAAAAGTGGACGCAGGCGACAAATTGTCATAATAATTATTTTTTAATAAACTTTTTTGAAGAAAGTAAAAATATATTAACATAGTTTTCTTAACTTGGTCAAAAACTAATTTAAAATTTCCCTAGGAATTTTCTTGGTTGAATTTTCAAAAAAAAAGCAGAAATATTTTTTTCAAAGAAGATAGATTTTCGACAAATTTTCCCTAAAAATTCAAAATATTTCAAGATAAAACAACAATTCTTTTCTATAAATTAAATACTCTATTTATTTTTATGTCTTTAAATTGTTGATTTTGAGAAATCAAACTCTGAAAAGTTAGGTGAATTTTACATATTCTCATAGTTTTTTAAAAAAAAATAAATCTATCAAGTCATGCGGGAATTTTGATATCTATATTATAATATAAAATAATAATAATAATTTATGAAATTCATAAAATTAAATATTGACTAAATGTATGGCGCCATCTTGTGGATACTTTTTACGATATTTTTTAAACTTTCTTTGAAAACCTTTTTATTATACTATTAGAAAATTATATCAACGATTAATTTATATATTCATAAAAATCTCTTTCGTTTTCTATTTCATATTATCTCATATTTCAAGGATTAAATTAAAGAAAATAAGATATTTATACATTTCTCAACCTTGTTATTAATTATATAGAATTATTATATATAAGTTAAGAACATAAAAAAATATAAAATCATTTGTATTAACATTTTTAAAATGGTATATTATTATTTATAAATAACTTTAGCAAGTTATCAATAAAATTAATTTTTTATAGACAAATAATTTTGGTGATATATGTTTTAAAAAAATGTCAATTTTAGTACACTTTTTACTGAGGTACGAATAGAACATATTTAGTGTTTAATAAGAGGTGATGTTGTTTTGTCATTACATTTTTTTAATCTCTTTATTTCAATAGTTGCTGATATAATATGCTCTTCACCTTTACACCGTCTTTATTGATATCAATATCATCTCTTTTTTGTGAGGAAATTTTGCCAACATCAATCATAACTATTTCATTGAGATTCAAAAAATACGGCAAATAAAAAATTTAATATTGCTTCAATCACTTCAGAGGTTTTTAAATTTATTCTTTTTATAACCATATCACCTGTCCGATTGGCAGTTTATCATATAGAAATGACAATTGTCAGGTTCATCAAATCTATTTTTATATAAAATAAATATATTTTCTCCTATTCTTTCCTTCCTGACGCTTTAATGGATAAATAAAATTTTTGCACCAACTAATATAAAAAATATAACGTGTTTAAATCATAGTTTCATTTTTTTCAATATAATGTTGTTTTCAAAATGATTTTTAACTCACTTTTTAAAGATCTTATATATAATTAAATCTCTTATCATTTCTGTACATAAAAATTTTTTAAGACGAAACAACAATTTTTTTAATATAAATATAACTATTTTTTAAAAATTAAATTGTTAATTTGAAGAAATCTGTGAAACTCTAAAAAATCTACTAAATTTTACATATTTTATAGTTTTTAAATAAATATAACCTCTGCAAGTCTCTGAACTATATCCTAATATAAAATATTAGAAATTAATATAATTAAACATTAAATTAATGTATGACGCCCCCTACTGGATACATACTATATCATTTACCAAACACATTTTAAAACCTTTTATTATACTACAAGAAAATGATATTGCCGATTACTTAATATATTCATAAATATCTTTTTCTTATTCATATTATCACATTTTTTGAGGATTTAATTAAAGAAAAACAAGATACTTATCTATTTCCCAACTTTGTTATAAATTATATGATACTATTGTATATTTTCAATAATATATAAATTATCAATAGTTTCGGATTATTTAAAATAACATTTACCTGAAAACTCTATATTTATCTTATATACAAAATGTGTTTGTTTTCTAATTTCATAATTTTCATCATATTTTTTATTATTTATAAATGTTATAATAGTGTTGTTAAACGGCTCGTTGAGCCGATTTTTAAAAACGGCTAACTCAATATTTTAGCCAGAAAAATGTGGACTAAGCCTCGAGATTTCGATAGTATATATCTTAAAATGTCCTCAAGATCATCAAATTTAAAAAACAAGGAATTTACTCTGTAATATTTAATATCCGAAAAACCAATAGTCATAAGGTAACTTTATAATTATTGTATTGATTATAAGTTTCAAATAATTTTATTTATAATTCTTTTGTATATATTCTTTTAAATAATTATAACTTCTAATATTATGCAATTTAATTAACCTCGATAATATAATATTAAATAAAGGAAAATTATAATATTGTATAATAAATAAAATATTCAAATAGCGTTGCATATAAACTTTCAAATAGACTTGATATCTTTTATATTAAATATTTAGCATCATCACATAATTTTCATGGGTTAATATGCAAAATATATATTTAAATGTTTTTTTAACTTGTTTAATTTTGCATAAGAAAATAATGTTAATTCTTTAGTTTATTTTTTATATTCAATCCGTAAGTGAGTCAATGATTGGTATGGGCGGCCAAGACCTGCCTCTAGCAATCGAAAAAGCTCAAGGCGTAATATATGTGACTATTTCTTTTAAATTTGACATCTATTAAATTACCTTTTTATATATTTTACTTTAATTTTATTATATATTTTACTTTAATTTTATTATATATTTTACTTTAATTTTATTATATATTTTTATATTCTAATTTTTTTTCGACTCTGGGGTAATAAAGAAAAGCGGTTTTTGGGCATCATGTAAAAATGTGCGCCATACATACACGTTTTAATTTTTTAAAATAAATCTTTATGTTCGGATGTTAAGTGGAATAACTTCGAGAGTCTCATTTATAGAGTTAAGATATATTGACGAAAATTTTTATAATTGGACAATTAGATAGTTATTGATAATAATTCAAATTTTACAGGTCATCTATCTGATTTTTCTAAGGATCATGATATTTAACATATGTTAACGTCGGTTTATTATCAACAGACATGAAAGAATGGTGAAACCATTCAAAATGCACATAAGAAAAAAATTTGGAAAATAAGAATATAGATTTCGTATATTGCACTTGAAAAATTCTTATTTAATTATAGAAATGCACCTGACGCTATAACAGGAATTACAACTAATAAACGAATGTTTAATCACAATATAAGAGCTCGATGGGATTTATTAAAATCTTTAGACAAAATTGTAGATATAAATAATTTCACTTTATCACAAAATTGAGCTGTGAAAATATTAAGGGAGATTTGATAGATACAAAATACAAGAAGATAAATGGAATAAATGAGTTATGAAAAGAGAGTAATTTAATATTTCAAATTAAAACAGATAGAGGCTTAATAAGATAACATTTAGAAATAATACACGAAAATCATTACTTAAAATAACAATATTTAAAAAAAAATAACAATAACTAAGATTTATTTTAAAGAGGAAAGAGGTACCACAAATAAAAATGTTGTAGAAAAAAATATTATAACACCAATTTCCAGACCTTTTAGAATAAAACAAAAACCGACATACTTAAAAGATTACATAACATAAAACGCCAAATTTATAAGAAAAATTTAATTAATAAAACACCAAAAAATATATAAAACTCATATATGTCATTCATATTGATTTATCATTCTTATTTGGATATCTGTAATTTATTCAATAATTTAATATTTACGATATATATTCCAATTCAATTTATTTAATCTAATATTCGAACATTCAATTTATTTTATATCAATTATTCCGGTTCTTATTTCAATTATTCTTTTCTTGATACATTAATAAAAATGATAGAGTATTAACCATAATTATAACTTCGAGAACGACAAGCAAGCTAAATTAAAGGAACGATAATTGATAACAATTTGAGAACATAAATGAGACAACAAAATGCGATAAAGATAACAAGTTTATATAAGATCAAACCTATTAGGACAATGAAAAAAAATAAACAAGACAATACAAATCAATCCAAACAGAATTAAAAAATATGAGTAACAAAAAAGAAGAGAGATGTTTAAATATTATTATTTTTTAAATATTTAAAAAGATCACTTTAAATATTTTGAATATTAAAATTTTTATTATTTTGAATAATTAATATTTATATTGTTTATGACAGGGCATCATTAACAGTTTCTATAACCAAGGCATGTCTGTTAGTTTTAAGTTAT